TGGTTTCCAACAACTAACCCTCTAAGTTCATTTGGGGTCTGCCGGGAGAGGTGACTTTTCTTGTATCCTCACGCTATTCTTTATTATTTAGCCACTCATAGGAGTTTTTCCTCGCAGTGATATACATTATGCCTGGTCACATTTCATTTGCCAGAACTAGTTATGAGGTAAAGTCTGACTTCAAGGGGATGGAGAGTGTAGTCTTCAGAGAATAAAGGAGAAGATATTTCTGAAAAGCTACATAATATAGCTCAAGGTTTATACGTGTTATCATTTCTACTTTTTTTAATCGTGTAGTATTTTTAAAGGTAGTAGTTTACTTTTACATCATTTCATGCCTCCTTCCCTCTCAGTTGTAATCCCCATGGGCTTACATCACCAAATCGTCCATGCATTTCCACTTTTAAACAGTCTCTGTATATTTTGTATTTGGGGCCCTAACATACATTCAAAATCCATCAGTCCAAGAGAATATTCTCTTCTTCCATCTGCTCAGGGCATATTTGATTTCCTTGTTCCTGAGACTGTAGATCATCGGATTTAACATGGGGATCACCATTGTGTACACAACCGAGGCCAGCTTGTTTTGGTTCCAAGAACTGTTGGAATTTGGGCACAAATAGACGAAAGTGCCTGAGCCAAAGAAGAGGGTCACGGCTGTCAGGTGAGAAACACATGTGTTGAAGGCTTTGGATCTGCCTTCTGCTGAAGCAATCTTCAGAATGGTACCAACTATATACCCATAGGATATCATGATAACCAGAACAGACATGACTCCAAAAATTACTGTGAGCACAGAGATTATAACTTGTAAGAAAATGGTGTCAGTGCAGGATAGCAGCATGAGTTGTGGAAGGTCACAGAAGAAATGGTTGATGACATTAGGGCCACAGAAATGGAGCTGAAGTAAGCCACATAGTTGGATAAATCCACCCAAGAACCCAGTTATACAAGACCCTACCATCATCTGCACACAGAGAGTGGGAGACATGATGGTCAGATAGAGGAGCGGATTGCAAATGGCGGCATAGCGATCGTAAGCCATGGCCACTAGGAGACAGCACTCGGTCAGAGCCAGGCCAGAGAGGAAGAAGTATTGCATGGTGCACCCCCTAAGGGAGATAAATTTCTGCTTCTTGAAGAAGTCTGAGAGCATCTTGGGAATTGTGGAGGAAGCATAACAAAAATCTAAGAAGGCAAGTTTACTGATGAAGAAATACATAGGTGTGTGCAGGAAAGCGTCCATCTTGATCAGGGTAAAGAGGCCCAAATTCCCAGACACTGTCATGAGATAAATGCCTAAGAAGATTGAAAAGAAGATGGCTGTGAGCCTGGGAAATTCAGAGAATCCCAAGAGGATAAACCTGGTAACTGCTGTGCTGTTCATTCCTTCAGCCATCGCCATGGTGTTTCTGAGATCTGAAGCAGAGAAAGAAATCTCTGTTATCTAGTATCCTTAGGCTATTAACACACAATGGACACTACTACTTGGATATTCTGCCCGCTACTTGAAATTATTGTCCAGTAATAGCATGAAGTTAAAAAAAAGAAAAAGAAAAGAAACTGCCTATCTACATCTTTATGTTTTAGAAGTATTTTTATTAAAGTATAAATTACCTGGAGATAGACGGCATGGGTCTGGATTCAAGAGATGGAAGTGGAAGTGGGCTTATTTACAGCACCTCCTTTTGGGTGAGCCATTTGGGGATTTCGCTTTTCTAATTCCCATAATTCTGTTCTCTGGGGTTTGTGGTCCTGATTCCTTGCAGAGTGATTTCACTAGGAACATAGCAAGAACCCCAGTAGCACTGATCCAGCATCTGCTGCTTTGGTGAATTCCTCCTTTACCCAGTTCTACTTTCATTCCACTTGAAGTGTTGATAGGGTCAAGAAAGGACATGGTTTGCACCGCTGGAGAATCTCTAGATACTCCCTTACCCTCTTCTCACAATAAGTGGACAAGTACAAGCTCCATCATAGTGAGACAACTTGAAGCTCTAAACCTCTAGTGTTCCCACAGGATCCACTAAGCTCTTGTACCACAACTGAAATCCTCCCTCAGCCCAACTGTGCTTTCCTCTCCTTTTGAGTGTTGATCCTGTGAACATTCCCCAATAAACTTTTCGTGGGCAAATCTTAACCTTGGTTGCTTCCCAGGCATCTCAACCTAAGACATCACTTAAAAATCAAAAAAATGGTGTACTTGACATCATAATAAGTCACTATGTCTCAGGTATACCACTTTTGAATCTGTATCCTTAAGAAATTAATAATATATACAATAAACATAAAATAGACATGTGTGCATATATTTATACATACAGTGCACATATACACTGTAAACATTTATGAACTTTCCCATAACAATATTATATTAGCCTCAAAATTGAGACAACCTGAGTATGCTAGAAAGTGGAATGGATAAGTAAATTGTGGTCTAACCATACAACATAATGTGACATCAAGGTGAAAACAATCTACTTTTACATGATTACATAGGCAAAATCTGCAGATAGAATATTAACTAAAAACAGCAAGTCACATAACAATACTTCATTATTATATCAAAAATCAAAGACTTAAGGCCTTCGCTGGTGGGGCCACGAGTTAAAGCCAGTGAAGCTAGCCACAACTGTTTCAATGCAAGTTCGACCCCCAGCCCGGGAGCTGACCCACACGGCTACAGACCTCTCCTGTCACCCCTGCTGCTTCCCTCAGCAGTGCACTTTGTTGATCTGCCTGTTCTGCTCCCCACTCTGTCTCTGGTGAATCTTCTCACTGCCCCTGTACCTCTTGGCTCTACCCTAGTTTTGTATGCAGAAATAAATAAATCTTTTTTAAAAAATCAAAGACTTAAGAACAGGCAAAGCTAATCAACTTCGTGTAGGGAAACATATATGAGTAGTAAAATGATCAAGTTAAAACAATGAAATTGTTGCATCTGGTGGCATCACAGGTTTGTTTGTGATTCCCAAAGATACTGATTGATTTGGGGGTGAGGATAATGCTATATTTTTCCTGATGTCACTTATGGCTTCATGAGTATTCTTGGAATAAAGGGGAAAAGTTAAATAAGTTATTTCAGCCATGTAATTTTCCCATTGATCAAATGTGTGTTTGGAAACCAAAACTCCCAACAGAACAGCAGCAAGTAGATACTTTATTCCAGAATGGACCCTTCATCACCCCTGATGCCTTCTCTGAACACCTCCGACAGACCGTATCGCATGCCCTGGAGTAGAGGACACTGACTTCTGGTGGGAACCAATGTGCTCTGTGAGAGCCAAGGAATAAAGCAAACATTCCCATCCCAAACATATGGGACACTGTTGGTTGTCTAATTGCTGGAAATATAATATCACATTCCTGATACCAAATGGGAATTTCCAGATGTCACTTTGTCCATCTTCTTGCCTTTATATAGATATAAACTAGCACTACCCAAGATTTGTATGGAAAAACGCATACATTGGTTCTATTATTTAAAAAGTTAGTTTTTCCTAATTAAAAAAAAAATAGTGTAAGGGAGTCAGAGACAAAAAGGATCAAATACCAGTTAGTGGTAAGTTACCTCCTACATTGAGAATCATCTTTATCAATTTCCAAGCCTACACAGTGACAAGAGAAATCTGTTATCAATATTTCAAAAGTTAGTGGAAATGTGTACATTTATTTTAAATTATTCTCCACAGAGATTTTAAACCAGCAAAGTCCTCTGCTTTGAGTGAGAATAGTAGCAGTTCACTGTGGTTCCTCTATTTCACACTTAGTGAAACCACACCAAGTGGTTGTGTGTGTATAATATAAATGGAGAAATTCATGATTAGGAGGGGGGTTAAACTCCAGCACTTGTTCATGGCATGATTTCTGGCTAAAGTCCTTAAAAAAAAATTTTCAGGGCCCTCCCTAGTGGCGCAGAGGGTTAAAGCACAGCCCTGAGAATCTAAAGCCACTTCGGCAGGAGCTTAATCCCCGCCTGCCCCGGAGGTGACCACATGGCGCGGCAGACCTCTCCTGACCTGCCCGCTGCTCCCCTAGCAGTGTACTTCGTTGATCTGCCTGTTCTGCTCCCCGCTCTGTCTCTGCTAAATCTTCTCACCCTCCACATCTCTGGCCTGTACTCCAGCTCTATATGAATAAATAAATCTTTTTAAAAAATAATTTCATTTTCATCCTATATAAACTGGTAATAACACACTGGCTGTTGTGAGAGTTTAATTAAGATATGGAGCTGCTTTCCCATAGCAGGTTCTTGACAGCTGCTATTAAAGTAAGTGTTTATTATTTTACTACTACTAGTATTATTGCTACTACTTAAAGGCAATTTTGTAGGTAAATCTTTCCAATCTGAGGTAATTTTAAAAAAGGATCATTTGGTAATGTAGGATTAGGAATTGATGGCATAGCATGGCTTCTGAAAAGTTCCACCCTTCATCCCCACACCACAACTAGCTAATATGTAACTTTCTATACATGCCATTTGACTTTTTGCTAAAAGATCTTGGTTTACATTAAAATGCAGTATGCTTCTTTTGGGAGAAATGATGGCAACATGAGGAAACAAAGAATAACATATTGCGAAGGGAAGTTGACTAGATGATGATGATGATGAAAAGGAGAAACAACACATTATTACTTAGAGCCCACTGTTGAGATAGGAGAGAACTGTAGAGAAAAGAAGAGAGAAAACTGCAGAACAGGGTGAGGCAAGTGGTGATGGTGAATCCTGAAGGCGCTGAAGACAACTTTTTCTAGAATGTTACTTACTCAGAAATTTGTCACAATTCTGTGCCTGGGTAAAATTTGGGGTGCTACCCATGGCTTCCTTTCCTTGGTCTTGCAATGCAGCCTTTCCCTGGGTCCTCAGGAAAACACAAAATCCTTTCAAGAGAGCTGCTTCCAACGAGGGACTCCTTAGAGTCCACTGAGGAGGATGAAGCCATAATTAGCAGAAGACAACATTTCCATTGATTATTCTCAAGAGTGTTAGATGAAGGAAACTAGTGGGAAATTTTCTCAACTGACCCCATTTCTTAATATTTTATGGGTCCCACATGATCCAATTAAAATGATCCACCCTGCCCAAAGTGACTGCCATGTACACACATTCGTCTGAGTGTTTAACTTGAGCACTTTTTCTGATCATAGAAAATCTGAAGCTAGAAGTCATCCACAAAAGAAGTCTGGGGGGAAAAAAACAAACAGAAACTAAAAAAAAAAAAATGTTATTGCGTAGGTCTTGGGAGAGCAAAGAAATTAAAGGAGAAATAAAAATTATCAGAAGCAATAAAAATGAAAAGATGAGCTACCAGATCCCATGGGTGGAGAAAAGATATTTTCTCATCTCATGTACAACAAGAGGTTAATTTCCAAAATACATAAAGAACTCACACAGTTCAACAACAAAAAGCAAACAACCCAATCCAAAGGACAAAGAACATAGTAGATATTTGCCCAATGAAAACATATAGATAACACATGAAAAAAATGCTTATATTCATTTATGAGAATGGAGATACCACCCCAAACCACAGTGAGATTATCAATTCACCTTTGTAAGAAAGACCTATATTAAAAAGACTGAAAACCAGCATTGGCAAGAGATAGAGAAAAGGCAGGTCACTCCCTCTTGGTGGGCAGGTAAATTGGTGTAGCTTCTGTGGAAAATGGTATGAAGAGTCCTATAAAAATTAAAATTGGGAATACCTACGACCCAGCCATACCATTCCTAGGCATTCCTCAGAATAATACAGAAAGATCTATTGACCCTTATATTTATGACTTCATTATTATCAATAGCCAAGATATGGCGTCAACTTTAATGTCCCTTGACAGACAAATGGGTAAAGAAATTATGGAATATATTCAATAGAATATTACTCAGCATGAAGAAAGATTATGTAGTGCCTTTTGGTACAAGGTGGATGAACTGTGAACTGGTTATACTAAGTAGAATAAGTCCAAAGTTGGAGACAGTTTCTGGACAATTTCACTATTTTGTGTACTATAAATAACCAAAAGAAAAAAAACTGGCAAAACACAATAAAAATTACTCTAGATTCCATAAAAATTTGATGGTCACAGAGGGGATGGTACAAAGAACACGGAGTTATGTGATAGTGTACTGACACTGCATCTTATGTGGAGGTTGAACGAAGCATGTACATATATGAAGGTATGAAGTTGTACTCAAAAATCATATAGTTGTGTAAACAAAAGGCAAAGCATTAAAATTTGATGGAACAAATACTTCTTCACTTACAGTCCTTAAAAAAATAAAATTCACATGACTTATAAAAATGGAAATCAGCAAAACAACACAAAAAATCCAATGAATTGCTGAGGATTTTATATATAAATGGAATTATAGTGCTCTATATCAAGTTGTTGAAGTTCAATCTAGCAAACCAGTGGTGACTGTTGTTACACATCTTTTTCCCTTGTTAAGCAGACCACATGGACCACAGCTTTATATATTTCTTGAGGCAGCAAAAATTAACCAGAGGTTAAAACCCTGCTTATCCTATGTTTAGTTTCTCTCCTGGACCTTGAGTTTCCAGAAAAATCAGCTATAACCATTCTACTCCCTTCATTATGTCCCTGCCATAAATCACTGACAATAGAAAACAATGGATACCAGTTTTCGTATTTCTGTGTTGTTGACTATTTACACTTCTCACACCAGACACATTGTGCTTGAAATGTCAAAGATGATTTGGCAATGTGATTCCATTAATTATGTCAACCAAGAGTAAACTTTCCAGATTTAATGGAGGTGAGAAAGACAGGGCCATGTTCTACAATATCAGAAATGGTTATTGGCTGTGACATGAATTTTGAATATCATCAGAAATGACAACTGGACACTATATGCAGAAAACTAAATCATCGGGCTTACAAGTAAATGATATGAAAGGGTCTACATAGTTCCTTGTTACTATTCCAATCACCTGCTCCTTCTCATTACCAATGACAAAGACTAGCCTGTGACCAAAATAAGTTATTAGATGATTAACACTGAAAGATGTCTTGGGCAAATATTAGCTCTCTGACACTGGTCTTCCTAGGAGGCAAAACCAGTCGAGACAGCTTTGTCTCTATCCAAAGTACATTCTCTCTATTAGTTCATTCTGACTCTGGTCATAAACACAGCAATCCAACTCTGGATTGTGTTACATCAGAATATTTAGGACAAATTTCTACTTCCTTGTGGCATCTGTTAGGTATTCATAAGGCTAGGGGACTGAGGTTAAACTGGGTTCAATATTAAAATCAAAAGGAAGCAGCATGCTACTAAACCTTGACAATGGCTTAGTAAGATTTTAAATAATAAATTTCTTTAACAAATAAATAATAAAGTTATTCCTCATATAGATTTAAAGTAATGCACTCCAAAGAATTAAAGGAAGTACGTGTGGTGTTGACTCAGTTCTTGGTGCATTTTAACATATTAACTGTGTTAGTTTTTTTGTTTGCCCAATGGCAGATGAAATTTGTCATAGTCCACTCATATGTATGTTGTTGTAGATAAGGGAATCTGACAAGGCAAATCTGACAGAAATCTCAGAATCTGTGATTTCAAAAACACCCTCTCTTCTTCAGCAACCTCTTCAAAGCATCTTTGATTTCTTTGTTCCTCAAACTATAAATCAAAGGATTCAACATGGGAATCACTATAGTGTACAAAACTGATGAAAATCTGTCAAAACTGGAGGAACTACCAAAGCTGGAACTCAAATAGACAAAGACACTTGAGGTATAGAAGAGGGTCACTGCTGTCAGGTGAGAAGCACAGGTGTTGAAGGCTTTGGACCTGCCTTTAGCGGAAGTGATCTTCATAATGGTGACGGTAATATAGCCATAAGATATCATGATAAGTAAGGCATTTCCTACCCCATAGATCATTGCTAAAATAGTTATCATGAGTTGTACAGAGAAAGTGTTAGTACATGACAGGATTAAGAGTTGGGACATGTCACAGAAGAAGTGGTTGATGATATTAGGTCCACAAAAATGCAGCTGAAATATGGCAACCAACTGGGAGACAGAACCAGAGAGTGCAGCCATATAGGACATAAACACCATCCGAATACAGAGGGTGGGTGACATGATTGATGAATAGAGAAGTGGATTACAAATGGCAGCATAGCGATCATAAGCCATGGCTGTCATGAGGCAAGACTCACTAAGTCCCATGGTTGCAAAGATGAAGTACTGAACAGCACAGCCCACAACGGTGATAGTTTGCTGCTCCTGGAAGAAGTTGGAGAGCATCTTGGGGGCTGTGGAGGTCACATAGCAAATATCTATGAAGGACAGATTACTGAGGAAGAAGTACATGGGTATATGCAAGTGGGAATCTATCCTTATTAAGACCATAACGCACAGGTTCCAAATTAGAGTGGTAATGTAGGTTAACAGGAATACAGTGAAGAGCACCATTAAGATTCTGGGAAAATCCGAAAAGCCCAAGAGGATGAAGTGGGTGAACTCTGTGATATTTCCTGCTCCAAACATGGGGTTGGTGTTCCTAAAATCAGAAAAGAGACAAGGTCATAATGCACTACTAATTCAGCTAAAGTGATAGCTTTGTAATTCTCATGGGTGCCATTTTTTCCCTCCACTGAATATTATTATAGTAAAAGGGAAATGCTTCACTCTCCTGATGGGAAAACCCTAGTTTCTCATCATGATTTGTCAAGTTCTTCCTTAGTGCTTCAGATCATCAATTATTTCATGAAGCTTCATGAAAATTAAAACTTTAAAATTAAAACTTTTAATTAAGTTTTTAAATGAAAAAAACTACCACTAGTATAAATAATGCAGAGATTATTGATTCAGTACCAGGTTTTTTAAAGCCCTCTCATGGTTCAGTAGATACCTACTGTTTTATAATCGTAAAGCATCAGTGGCTTCAGGAACACATAAGGAGATACAAAGCCATACTCCCAAAATTCTATAGTTAGGAAAATGATTGCCTAATAAAACTTGAGAAAAAAAAATTATTCCAACAAAAATAATTCTAACAAAATACCAGCAAACTAATTGCAGCATCAAATAGAAAAGATTCAACACCATGATCAAGTGGGCTTCGCTCTAGCCGGCAAGTTATACAAAATATAATGATAAACATTGTATGATATTTCAATAGCTGCACAAGAAGAACTTGACAAAATTCAACATCCATTCTTGACAAAGTAAGTATAAAGGAACTGAATATAATAACGACGATATATGGGACATTCCCACTAAGTCATACTCACTGGTGAGTAGTTGAAAGCTCCTTCAGCTCGGTAACAAATCAAAGGTGAGGACTCTCACCATTTCTGTTCAAAGTAGTCTAAATGTCTTTGGGGGCACTCAAGACAAGGGGGGAAAGGAACTGAGAGTGCTCTATTTGCAGCTA